AAATTTGTGTCCATCTCCAGTTAAAAATTTGTCCAACGATTTTTTCCTATGTTTTTCCTCGATCTGCTTGTTTTCTTTTTTCACTTACACTTAAATGTTTATAGGAACTCATATTAAAGACTCCATACTAAAAAGAAAGAAGAAAATGATCTTTAATTAATTTTGCTTTTACTCAACATTAGAATCACAATTTGTGGTATTTTATATTATATATTGTTTAATAGTTAAATAATGTAATACTTTTATAAAAACTTATACATTGTTATTCTAAGAATTCCAATAAGTATTAACTATGAATCGAAAATAATTTGTTTGCAATCAAGTCTAGGTTAAGTGCATAATTTCGATACGTTTCAGCAATAATTATGAGTATCAAGTTAATAAAAATACAAATTAATTACAAAAATTAAAAATTTAATTTTCGGGCCCCAAAAATTACGGGCCCTAGGCACGTAGGTTGCATAGACCTTAGTTCTCCCTGGAAATTGTATATTTTAAAATAACCACTTATAAGAACTTAGAATGAAGTTTCTATTCGAACTGTAGTTGCTATTATAGTGATGATATTTGCAGTGTTGTACCAGATATTTTTGTCGTTTTTCTCTACTTTCGACAATTCATCATTTTACCTCCAAACACATGTCCCTTCGGTGCTAAGGTAATCAATCTTACGAATCATACCACCTCTTTTAGCGATAATAATATAAGTTTATTCAATTCAATAGTTATTACATTAATTTACAATTTCAGTTTACTTACAATAAAATAAACTTAAAAAAAGTCTTAAAAGCATAAACATGCTTGTTAACTTAATCTGTCTAATATTGACAGGTTTGTTTATTATTTTTTGAGAAATCATTATTTTATTTTTACAGTTTCTAATCTAATTTCTATATTTTTTTATCTAGTATAAGCACGTATAAGTTAAATTTATTAATAATTGATGGATTCGACCGTTACTTGATGGAAATTCATTTTATGTAACAATAAAACACTGAAAACTTTGTTTTCAAACTTCCACAAAATTTATTTTAACTATTATCACTACAGCTGTTTCGGCTGATTGCCTTTCTCAAGTGATCTATTTTTGACATGCGTTTACAATTTATAGTCTCTAATGAAATAGGTTGAGGAGGGGAGAACTGTTTGTCTCAAGTTGGTCATTCAGAATTATACCTGTGTTTTTTAATTTGTTGATTTCCATAGATTCTAACAAAGATAGCTTAAGGCCTTTATTTGAATGGGAAGAATTTTAAATTGTCATTAAAAGAATGATTATGATCTAGAAGGGGAAGTGCGTATGTCGAATCTGTTTTTCTATTATTGAAAGCCCTTTTATGTTCTGCTATTCGTTTATTAAAGTTTCTACCAGTTTGACCGATATAAGTTTTTGGGCAGTCGCCACATTGAAGTTTGTGCACACCACTATTTAAGTGTTTTTTATTTTGGCTCTTGTTATTTTTAATATATTTGCCTAGGTTGTTATTTGTTCGGAAAGCTGGTGTTATTCCTTTCTTTTTTATGTATTTGGCTATTTTTGTTGTTATTTTGCCTGTATATGTAATCGAGCAGAAGGTACTGGGTTTTTTCTCTGGTGGTGGAAATACTAATTTCAAGGCTTTCTTGTGTAGTTTTTGATTTAACATTTTATTATGGTATTTAAAACATAATAAATGAGATAGCCAGTTTAACAAAATTACGAAATAACAGGAAGTAATATATTTTAACAAAGTCGTTAGAATACAGTATTGAATAAGATCACATTATATTACACTAAAAGAAAAATATTAAATGTAAAAATATTAAAAGAAATAGTACATACTTTCTCAAACAATATGAAAAAATGATATTTTTACAAAAAGGAAAAAATTATCTTCAACACAGTAGGGTTTTGATTTCGATTTCCAGTTAATTTAGAAAAGATAGGGTGTCGTGTATAGAAAAAAATTACCTTTTGATGATCTTGCTAGTTAAAAAAAAAACTGGGGGCTGAAGCAGGGCAGTAGTGCATGAATTTTGCACGAAAATTTGTCTCCCTTCCAATACAAATTGACGTGTTTTCATAAATTTTGAAGAAACTCTTGGTTTCTGAGTTTCTGGTGCGGTTAAATTTTCATTCTTCAATATCCGTATTATCCCACTGTCGATGTCTCGTCTGTGTAATATATCCCATAATTTTGTTCTTGGCGCCCTTTTGAAAGCTTTCCCTAGATCTGACATACAGATAATACAGATGATACTAAGACAAGAAGATAAGATATAGCGCATAAGTCGTGACGTCATTGGAGAGTTTGATGTTCGAAATGTCAGTTTTTTGTATGTATCAATAAATAATCTTTAATAAATAGTTTGGAGATATCGTTATGTGTACGATTATTGTAATGATTAAACCTCTTAACGTATTTTCGTCTAGTAATTTCATTACAGAATGCATACAAATCCCATTTAACTTTAACAAGAATTCAAATTCTACTCTCCAATGACGGCAAGCGCGAACACGACCTATTTTGGGCTACGGGAAGATCCTATCTTGTTAGTCATAGTATTATCATCCTAGTATAATATTATTTTATTATTTAGTACTTGTTCAAACATTTTCATAACTGTACTTATTAGTGTTATTCCTCGGTAGTTGTTGCAGTTTTGTTTAACTCATTTCTTGTTTTTTGGACCATTTACCATGTGTAGTACCTACATAGCACGTATGTAGGAGAAGTCCAGTTGCTGTACCTTTACTTACCATAGATCACAGATCACGTAGATTAAGATCATCCATAATGTCAGAGAGATAACTGTCAGAGAGTTTTGGTTATAGATGAAACCATAGTAAATATAAAATCTCCAGAGCATCTTCAGATAAACACCCAGATTTAAATCCAGTTGAGCAACTCAGAACCTTTGGGATGTTCTGAAACAAATGATTCGACATAATTTATTGTGAACGTGCAAGAACTGAATCATACTATTCTTTTTAATGTGACAACATTCCCCGAGCAACTATCCGAAACTTGATAACAAGCTTGTCCAGACGAAGACAAGAAGTTATAAGATCTTGAGTAGATATGGGTTATTAGGGTTCATTATTTTCTTTTCGATTGAAGTTTTGGTTTGGTTTGTAACGGTTGACTATACAAGGTCTCGTAAACACATGTTTTAACTTTGCATACTAAAAAGGCCTGTATTTAAGTCTTATCAATCCAAATATTTAGTATTCACTATTCACAATGATTATAGCTTAATTTGTTAAATACCTATGTGTTTTATCTGTTGTTTGTGTTGATAACTAAATGCATATTTATATTGCAGATATGAATACAGGCTTGGGGTCATCACTCTTTTATACATATTTATGTCCATATTTCAGAATTATTCTTATTCAAAACTATTTCTTTAACCATACTTCGTAGACACATTGTTGCCAGATACTTCACTATGTCAGCATAATCTGAAATTAATAAAAATTTTGGGAACTGGTGAATAAGGACAATAATGTGAGATAGCTTAACTGACCAATTCAGCACACCTTGTTTCTGGTTTATTCTTTGGATAATATCTGTACAATTTTTGGTTCTTTTTCATCTGTTACTTAGTCTTTCTCTCTTTCTTTTTTATTCGGTCTAATATTTGAGTTCCAGTCTCGCTGTTATTAGGGTCGCTACTCCATTGTGGCTTATCCATTTACATTTTTTCAGAACGATTTTAGCCGATATGTTGTCTTATTCTGTTCTGTCTCATAGTTCTGCATTGCTTATTCTATTGATCCAGTATATCTTCAGTATCTTTGTTAGGGATCTGTTCATGAAGGTTTGTAGTTTCTTGTTATAATTTCATCATGGTTTCAATTTTCTGCTCTGTTAAGTAATATGTTTTTAACACTTGTTTCCGGTGTATCACTTGTTTGCCAAATTTTATTTATTGAGTTGAATGTGGTGGATGGAAAAATATGTGAATTTGTCCACCCCATTTTGCTTTTTTAATGTTAAATGCATTTTAAAATTATCATTTTCTTTATTTGTTTTACTCCGTTGTTTATGACTATTTCTTGTGTGATATCTCCTGCGTGTTACAGTGTGGCTGTATATCCTTTAATGTGAAATAGTTTAATCAAATTAATATATTTTGATATTGTATTAAAATCTACATTTGCTCCCTATTCCTGCAATCGAATATTTTTTTGATCATTTGGTCAATAGGAGAGGTACGGAAACCTGCTCAGTTTCTTTACTAGTTTTAATTTTACTCTTTTTTGTCTAGTCTTGTCATTATTTTACGGATTTTGTTATCAGTCTCTCCTTCCACTCATTTGGTAGTTCTTCGTAAATGCATTTTTTATTTAACAGTTTATGCTGGATTTCTCGTTCGATATCTGCCTTTTTTAAATCACATTCTCAGTTACTGCAGCTTTGCTGTTACCGATTTATTTTACAGCTAGGGGTTCTACAGCTTCTGCCTCCTTCCGCATTTCGATCTCCACCTCGCTCGGTCTCTTCATTCCCATTTATGGGTATTTCTACCATGGTTCCTTTTATTCCTTCTCTCCATTTTAATTCTGGTCCGTTTCTTCTTTTTCTATTCCTTGAAGCATAATTTAATGTGTGTTTTGGCTATCGTTCATCATCCATTCTCATTACATATCCGTACCATAAAGTTGTTTTGACTCTATTGTATTAATACTGTTATATCTTTGCTGTTTTATTGTTATTTCTTGGTTTGGGATATGTTTAATTCTCTAGATACGACACGATATTCTTAAATAGTTCATTTCTACGACGTCCATTTGCTTTTACCCTTTTTTCGTCATTTGCCAACATTCCGATCCATATTTTAAAATTGGTTCTACAACCAACTTGTAGTTTTGTTTGCCTAATTTTAGTATTTTGTACCCGTATACCTATTGCATAAAACGATAATTTAGATTTTAAATCAAAATGGAGGTGTCTTCTTAGTATTGGTTACAGTAGTCTACTGATATATTTGAATCTTGCATATTTTGTTTCCAGTCAATATGCCTATCGATTGCTACTACGTTCCTGGTGGAGCCCCATCAAGAAACGTTCTTCTGGCTGCCAAAGCATGCGGTGTGGAACTTAATCTCAAATACTTGGACTTGATGAGCGGAGAACAAATGTCACCTGAGTTCCTCAAAGTAAGTTTTATTTTATATTTCCTTAGGTAGAACAAAAAAGATAGATTAATAACTATAGACCGGAATATATGCAACAGAAAACAGAGCAAATATACGTATATATGTATGCACAAAATTGGCTCAAATATGCAAAAATTCGGACAAAGAATATTCGTAATATAGAAAATTCTGAGTTTTGTTTAAAACATATTGAAATTTATTTGATTAACAAGGAGTCAAATTTGGTTTTTCAAGTTTTATGTCCTCAACAAGGTATTTAAAATTTAAGCTATGTATGCTAGATTTTGAGGTAAATTAGGTAATTGAACAAGGCGTTTACATTCCTCCAGAGCTGCTGAAGTGCAATCTGTTAGTTCTTAATAAAACTTTTTATTCCTTGAAATTACTTCACAAAAAAATACTTCTTGTAACCAAGTTCCCCGTCTCGTAATAACAAGTAAAGGTGTAATGGATTATTACCCAGACTTTCTTTGTAAAATTAATCTCATAATGGCAATTTTATAAAAGGTTTTTTTACATTATTTGTTAAACCATTAACATGTAGAAAATTTCGTCTTATTTTTCCACCACAAGGTTAAGCCAATGAGCTAGATATTATATAGCCACATCTCAAATACTTCCAATCTTCTGCACATATTTTCGTTCAAGGTCCACGATTCAACACCATAAAAAAAGAAGGAGAAGACGTAGCATTGCAGCATTCTGACTTTTATACTAAGAGAGGGATTGTGGTACTTGAAGAGGGTCTCATCCGATTGAAGGTGGATCTAGGTTTTCTGTTATGTGCGTTTATCTCCTGGTTGTTGGTCCATTCCTAATTTATTACGGTGCCGATGTAGTCGTAGTGCCATCACTCTTTCTACTGGGGTTTGGTTGACATAGAGTTGACCTTCTGTTATCTTTTTTTTGCTACTTATTATTAGACCAGGGCGGATATGTGAAAAAAACGACTAAATTTGGGGTAAGATTCGGATTTTTGCAGAAAAAGTTGTATTATCTTTGACGATGATTTTTATGACATATTTTCTGCATACAGAGTGGCCCAAAAGTCTGGAAACGGCTAATTATCTCGTAAAATGTTAATCATAATTGTACAAAATTTGAGGTACACCTATTTTGGGATACGAATATTCCATATTTGATAGTTACAATGTTGCCAGATTTGCCGTTTTTCTTATATTATTAGCAACTTTGGTTTTTCAAATACATCACTCTGTATATTCAGTCATTATTGGAATCTCCTATTCAATACGAGTTCAACCGTATGTAACACTTATGATTTTATGTAATCTGGAAGGTCATAAATACATAAAACCGAAGTCTGGCAACGCCTAAATTGTTTCAATAATTTTTTTTAATACTAACTATTTTCAAATACATTAAAACGTAACAATTGATAGTTTAGAACATTTTTTAACATAGTAGTTACGTTATTAAGTGTTCAAAATGTGCTCAATTTGTGAGTTGACAGCACTCTAATCGATGGTAGAAGGCGTCTACCACATTTCTCCATGATTGTCTAGAAATTATTCGAGATTCATTGATAATTCGTTGCCTTAGCTCTGCAAGACTTGCTGGTTAAGTTTTGTAAACTGAATTTTTCAAGTATCCCTAATAAAAATAATCTTTAGGATTGAAATCGGGTGAACATGGAGGCCATTCAATTCTACCTTGTCTACCAATTTATCGTCCAGGAAATATCTCATCTAAATATTGCCGAACATTTACACCAACTATCTGAAGTTAAATTTCTTTCGACAAAAAATGACTCAATTGAGTAAGTAACTACTATATCTGACCATACATTTAATTTTTGTGGTCTTGAGTATGGTTTTCACGCATTCAGTCTTCAGTGTGAATTTACGTCTCACCAGTACCTTAAATTGTGTCGATTTACACTTCCACACAGTGTAAAAATTGCTTCATCGGAAAAACATTCTGTTAACGAAATTTTAATAATTTTCAATTTTATCCATCATTACCTCAGTAAACTCTAATCTACGACCAAAGTCATCTTCACTTAATTCTTGCAATAAGTTATTTTTGTATGATTTAAATTTATTTTTACGTAATAAACGTAAGACTGAAGAATGACCTACATCATGTACTTGTGCAACCCTGTCTGGGGATGTATGTGGATCTTCAACAAAACTTTGCTTATATCTGAAGTTTTGTTGTCATTGATAACTCGTTTCGGTCAACCTGATCGGTATCTATCTTTTACTTCTCCAGATTGCTCAAATCGCCTTACAGTTTTTTGTACCGTCGTCTTATGAATAGGAGAACGGTTTAGAGAATGGCATTTTAGAAAAGCAATTTAAATTGCAGAACTTTTTGAACCACAACTGCTGTCAATTTTAGTTCATAATTTAAATGGTGAACAAATGTCAAAATCACAGCATTCTCCATTTAAATATTTAAATTTATTAAAATCTACATATTTTGCACTGTTTTATGTATTTAAGATCTTTCAGACTACATAAAATCAAGTGAACATATGGTTGAACTCGTATTGAATAGCTGAACTCGTGTGAAATTCACAGTGAATGCGTGAAAACCATACTCAAAGACCACAAAAATTAAATGTATGGTCAGTTATAGTAGGTACTTATTTAATTGGACCATTTTTTATCGAAAGAAATTTAACGTCAGATAGTTGGTGTAAATGTTCGGCGTTATTTAGATGAGATATTTCCCGGACGATAAATTGGTAGACAAGGTAGAATTGAATGGCCTCCACGTTCACCCGATCTCAATCCTAAAGATTATTTTTATTAGAGATACTTAAAAAATTCAGTTTACAAAACTTAACCAGCAAGTCTTGCATAGCTAAGGCAATGAATTATCGATGAATCTCGAATAATTTCTAGACAATCATGGAGAAATGTGGTAGACGCATTCTACCATCGATTAGAGTGCTGTCAACTTACAAATGGAGCACATTTTGAACACTTAATAATGTAACTAATATGTTAAAAAATATTCTAAACTATCAATTGTTACGTTTTAATGTATTTGAAAATAGTTAGTATTAAAAAATGTATTGAAACAATTTAGGCGTTGCCAGACTTCTGTTTTATGTATTTAAGACCTTCCAGACTACATAAAATAATAAGTGTTACATATGGTTGAACTCGTATTTAATAGGAGATTCCAATAATGACTGAATATACAGGGTGATGCATTTGAAAAACCAAAGTTACTAGTAATATAAGAGAAACTGAAAATCTGGCAACATTGCAAATACCAAATATGGAATCTCCATATCCCAAAATAGGCGTACTCAAATTTTGTATAATTATGTCTAGTAATTTACGAGATAATTAGCCGTTATCAGACTTTTGGGCCACTCTGTATACATAAATTTGGGCACGTTCGTAACATCAGATGTGGAAATTATGTTAAATTTTTTTTTAAGTATCTATCACTTTCCTATCAATTTTCCCATGTAAATAATTTAAAATTGAAAAAAAGAATTTTTTAGTGTTTGAAAAATTTTAATTTATTTATTTTTAAGCAAGTCACAAGCCATGGACGTATAATATACGTCCATGTTACAAACTTTTAAGATTTAAAGTCAACTTGACAAAATTTACGTCAAAAATAAAATGATCCCTTCTGTCTTTAACGGATTCTGGTAAAGTTTTTACGATATCGTCTTCAACTATCATATCCATGTCTTCTATATCAGGCCAAAAAAGGTGTTACTACTCATTTTATATCTTAAAAGCAAATTTTCCATTCATTTTCAATCTTGTTATCAATTCTTCCAATAAAATGTTTAATATATTTTTTAGATACCTACTCTACAACAACCCAAATACCCTGCACTTCTTACTCAACTATTTGCTCGTTTTCTTCAAATATTTCAGGATCTAAATCATCTTCAGAGTCAACATATTCTACCAAATCTTCCGATTCTGAGCTACTAAAAGTTTCTTCTCGTTTCTTACTCCTCTCGGGTTTTTACATTGTGCTTCTTTTTTTCTTTCTGCGTTCTTCGTCTGTTTGTTTTTCTATTTCTTTTATGTTCTTTAATCTATTTTCTTCTGTAAGTTTATTCATAACTTTTTCGAAAGGAACGACTTCTGCCCCTGCAGCTACTTTTTTTCTTTTTGAGCCCGAAGGACTTTGCTTATTTGTCTCTTTAACAGTGTTTAATGGCAGCTCCTCAGAACTTATTTTTGAAGAACTACTACTTGGACTTGCATCAGAAATATTGGTTGTATGGTTTTCCAGCACCTGGTCTTTATTTACCGACTGATCAATATTGTCGGCGGTAATAGCATCCATATTAGTGCGGTTTCAGCTACAACTATTGTTTGGTCTTCTAAACTCTTTTGTTCTTTTCATCTTCATAGGCATTCAGGGTGGTATTTTTCCTCTGGTATAACATGACGGTTAAATGAATATATACCAGCTTTTCTAAACCCGTTTTGATCATTTATACACTTATGTTGTTCCATGTAGTGCCTCTCGTCAGAGAAAACTCTTTTTTTTGGAATTTTAAGACCAGTATTATGTCTCTGCCAGGTTACGAGTTGTTGGTCCCAGGCGTCTTTTAGAGACTTAAATGCGGCTAAATGCAAAGGCTGCAGAAGGTGGTTGGTATGAGGAGGAAGTTGGATGATTGTGATATAATTCTGTCGTGCTAATTCAACTAATTAAATACTTACGTCCGTCCGGGTACTATGATCACCATATATCAACAGTACCGAATTATTTTCTCCTAATGCCGGAATAAACGTTTTTTTTTTAATAATTAAAAAATACGTCACTCTCCATCCATTGCGACTGGCTGTATAAGCAGTTCCCGGAAATGAGTTCTTGTTATCTGGTAGCCAGGAATCCCAAATATTTTTTCTCTTTTTGCTTTTTTCTCTTTCTGCTAAAAGAACCATGTTGTTTTCTCTTCCTGGACCGGAAGTAGTTCTGAAACTTAGTTTACCTTTAGCTTCCACGACTTTGGTTTTTTTCGAGTCGTGAGAAATGGATGTTTC